GAGCGTCATAATTTTTAAGATTATGAAAGAAAATAGGGATTTTAAAATACCTAAATGAATAATCCAGATTACACTTTACATGCGCCGCGCCTCTGTATTTGCCTGTGAAGTGGCAGTGGTCGCGGACTTTCTCATCATCAGGTTGGAATTTCTTATTACATATAGAGCAGTGGGTTGCTTGTCTAAATTCTGTCTTTTGTTCGTAAGTTAATTCATCCATTGGTTTATTAACATTCATCTTTTCAAATATATCTTTCTTAATTTCAGTCAGTTGTTCTACAAACTTTTTCATACAATCCTCACCTCTGTATAAGTACGGTTGGCATGTATTATCAATCCTGCTTACTACATTTAGCATATAACCACATGGTTTATGTTCTTGGTAAGTTCCTCTGGGAGCACTGCTTCCAGAGCAACTTACGGCACCTTCGGTGCCGTAAGTTCCCTTTATTTCAATGTTAGAGTTAGTGGTTAGACATTCAAAATCACCGTAGATTACAAAAGGACAAGGCAATTTAGTATTATGCTTTTCAAATTCTATGTATGTGTCTTTATTTGGCATCTTTGTTTGTTGTCCTTCTGACGCCATACATCCTTTTTCAAGATGCTTCTTAAATACTTTTTCTGATTGAAATGGATTTAAGCAATGGTGGCAGTAAAACTTTTTATTAGTGCTGCTACTGCTCTGATAGTTTAGTAATCTAGATTTGTTTTTTACTAATACGTAATGATAGTGATTATCTTCATCATAGATTTTTAATAAATCTATTTCGTATTTAGCATTTCTATTTTTAGTGCCTCTATGTAATATGATTTTGTTGTCATTTAAGCTGTCATCTGGTTCAAAAACATTTACTGAAACTGATTTATTATTCTCTTCAAATCTGTCTATGTCCCTATTACCAGTTGGAAATTTTACACCATCCCAGTTCAACATATCATCTTTGAGTTTATTATAGTGGAACATTTCCTCTGGGTGATGTTTGCTTATTTTGTCATAGACTATGGATTGAATACAATATTTGAAGCATTTTTGGTCTATATTTTTAATGTTGATACATGCCTTTTTTAGTTTAATCCATTCTGGTAATTCAATGTATCTCCCTGCTCTTGTTGGGTCATATCTGTCATAGTGAATAGTTATTGATAAAATCTTTTTAAATCTTAAATTAGATGTTGAACCTTCTAAATTTTGTATTTGTAATCGGATTTGAATAACACTATCTTCTAATGCTTGTGTCAGTTCATCCTCATTACTAATATTGAAGCGGGTTGATGGTAGGGCATATACAAGTTCCTGACTTCCCAATTCATTTCCTCCATCATCATATTCAGGTTTTTCAAATAATCCTTCCGTTCTTACATTAAGTTTCATGCTTCTATTATTTCTCAAAAAATCTGATAGTCTTTGTTTTTGGCGCGCAATCATTTCTAATCCCCTTTCTCCTTGAAAGTGCTTGTTTTCCAAAACTATTGAATTAGCGTATCTTCTAAGTGCTGATTGAATATCTCTGACCCTGAATGTGTTTTTTTTATAGCGTGTTTGGTTAGTAATAGTCTAACCCTTTCTCTACTTACAACATCCGTTGCCTTTTTCATAGCATAACTTCTGTATTCATTAGTGTTCTTTACTGATAGCAGTTTCTTGGTCAAAACATTTGATATGGGCTTGTCTTTGTTGTATCTGAACTTTTTGTTGTCTATGATTATGGACTTCAATTCTTTTCTTCCTTTTTTTGGTATTTCTGCTAAATCATTACTCAATAAATAGTATATAATTTTTTTCATCATATAATAGTATATATTTTATTTAGTTAATTTATCTTTAAGTAATTTTTTAAAGAATGTTTTTTTCTAATCTTTGAATATATACTTAAAGAATAATTATTTAAGTATATTTGTAGGATGGATTGTGCGAAGGATTTACCCATTGATGTGTTGAGTAAAAGTGCTTCTTAAAAATTGGAGACCCTAAATATTTGAAGTTTAAATATTGTCATATTGAGGCATTAAAGAGAATACAAAATAAGTATAAGTTTTCAAGACCTGGTTCTAAAATAACAAGACATTTGAAATCAAGAAAAAATATATATACACATATATATATATATATAATTGAATACTGTATTATGAGAGAGGGAGCGCCATTTAGTTTAAAAAGTTTAGAAGACAATATCAGAAGAAAAAGAAGAATATTTATCTTTAATTTATGAAAAAGTAGAATAGTACTTAAATTATGGAGTTACACATGATATTGAAGTTCAATTGGTGGCAAAACTACCAGATAAAGAATATGGTGAACATGAATTTAGTTTTAGGGAAATTTACTTTATGAATGGCTTTGATGAATATGTAGGTGAAGATAATATAGACGAAGTATTAAATAAAGCAGTTGAAGAAATAAAAACCGATATAAGAAGACCAAGATAAAGATAGTATAACAGGAATACAAGCATTTCATTTTGAATTGATAATTATTGAAGGGATTTACTATTAACATATTTCTAATAATATTTATTGATTAGAATTATGGATTTGTAAGATAGGGTTATTAAAGGGTAGGGAATAATGTTTATTGTTGTCTATTGTTTTGTTTTTGATGGTGTTCTTTGCTTGGCTTGTTTTTGTTTTTTTTGGTTGTTATAGGAATTCTTGGAAAAGACATTTAAGAAGATAATCATATTTATATGTAATGGGTAAACTTTGTAGATACTGTGTTAAAGATTTACCAATTGATAATTTTGAAGATGGATTGAAGACTTGTAAGAAATGCTTGGAATACAAGAGAAAGAACTATGACAAACATAAAGATAAAGTGAATGAAACACGAAGAACTAAATATAAAGAAGATGAAGAATATAGAAAAAATACACAGGAACAAATACAAAACTATCGTGATAAAGTTGCCTTTTGTAATGTATGCAATTCATCAATGAAGGCACAATGTTATTCAAGACATTTAAAAACAGAGAAGCATAAAAAGGAATTTAGGAACGGTTGATGCATAGGATTTTGTAAAATGAATAAGGTAATAATGCGTTTGACTGCTATGATTTTGAAAAATGAATGAGGTAAGTATGCTTTGACAGCTATGATTTCGAAAAATTGAATGAGGTAATTGTGTTTTGACTGCTATGATTTTAAAAAATGAATGAGGTAAGTATGCTTTGACTGCTATGTTTTTGACAAATTGAATGAGGTAATTATGTTTTGACTGCTATGATTTTGAAAAATGAATGAGGTAAGTATGCTTTGACTGCTATGATTTTGAAAAATTGAATGAGGTAATTATGTTTTGATATTGTTGAGAAAAATGAAGTAATCAGCAATATTTAAACTGACTTTTTGGACTGTTATGTTTTTTTTTAATGAATAAATTTTGATTTGCTATACTGCTATGATATTAGTTTAGAAAACTTCACTGAATCAACTTTTTTTTTACATTTTTTGGGGGCGCTGCACGCTGCACAGAAAGGCCCAATGGAGGCGGCGAATGACGAGCTGAGTCACAGGCAGCTGGGATCTGCACTTGCGATCCAATGGACATCGGACGAGGGAACATCAGATGAGCTGTGTGGTTTGGGGATGGGATCCACTGATTGGACTGGTCATGCTTACTGTTAGACCGGACCATCCCACATTTTGCTGTACCATCTGTACCCAGTTTTGACCATTCTTTGATTTTTTTCCTGCCAACGTTGAGTTCCTCAAACACATCTCTTCTGAATTTGTACCATGCAATTGAATTCAATTAGTCACCGGACACACCCCATTTCTTGAAACACACCTGCGTTTTGCTTGCAGACTCCTAAAAAATTGTTGGGAAGTGGGGTGCAGGAACTCGCCAGAGAAGCAACGCTAGTTTCCCCCTAGGCATCCTCGTTGCCAGGGCAGACTTTGTTCGGACCGACTGGTGTGCAAAGCATTGGTCTGCGGCCTCTCGCAGACCCAGAATGGATGGTTCCAACCTTAGACATTGGCAATCGACCCAGGGTAATCGTGGCAAATATGAATGATTTCATGTGATTTCTTTTTCTGCCATTGTAGTAGCTCGGAATGGTCACTTGTCTTCAATGATGTTTGCCTCAGACCCTTTTCACAGCCCCTGCATTCATCATTTGGACGACACACGCACATCCCAGAAAAGCAGCGGTTCTATCAAACCATTGAATCTCCGAATTTGCACCAGAAAATTCTATTTTTGAGTTTGCCCATGGTTTTCCATCCTTTTCATTTCTTTTCTATGTCTAGATCATCCACTCTTTCCTTCAGCTTAGCGCTGACGCATCCCAGGTTCTTTTGGAAGGCCAAATGTGCTCGAGGCATTAGCTAAGCAGCTGCAAGAGATCTGAGGGCCACATGGACGTCCAACGTTGACATACGTTGACTACGGGCCGAAAGAGCTTGGAACAGGGTGAGGACTGATATGTTGATGCCGCAGATGCTGCAGATGCCGCAGATGCTGGAAATCTCTACACTGGAAATAAATACGAGGCAAAGATTCGAGATGATCCAAACTTGAGTCGCCTATAGTCGCCTGCCTGCTGAAACTCTTGCTTCCATTCAGCAGTTTATGGCCGGTTGGCGCCCTTTTTTCACAAGCGGCTGTTGCAAGTGTTGACTCTGCAGAGTCTCAAAAGATCGAAGTGCGCTTCATGTGTCTACCAGCTGAAGCGCCATTCTGGTTTTCGATTTCCAGATCGGGTATGGCATGGTAGGGATCAATTTTTTACCACCCCAAAATTCATTGGAATTGGATAGAATTGGATGGTTTAAGTTCAAGGTCTCTAAAGATGACCAGCTGGTGGGTCCAAACAGTTACTCGCTACTCGAAGCTGCAGGCCCAAGGTTCTGCAGTCTTTTCGGCAGTCTGCTTGAAGCAGTTGCCGCTTAGGGATGGGTCAAAGTTGTGGAACCATAAACTGAACCAAACTTCACTGGGTCACTTTGAGTAGTTTTTGTTTCGATCCATTCCATTCTTGGGGGGGGAGTTTAAAAACATTTTTGACCCATACTGCCCATACCGGCCCATACCCAGTATATTCAGCCATGGTACACATGGTACTTTTGATGAGGTTTCTCGTGCTTGTGGCCAGTTCGGTGAAGTCTAGCGCAGACAAAGCTTTGGTGCTGGGCGACAGCTGGGCGGAATATTCCTTAGAGACATTGCAGGACAGGGTTTCGAAACGATTCCAGTCACATCGGTATCGATGCACATGCGAATCTCAAAGTCATGAAAGAGTGTGTATAACCTTACATATCTTACATCTGCGATTGACAAACACTGCATCGATTGATCCGCGATTGGTTTGCAGTCCGGAAAATAATCCCTCAACGTCCCTGAGCAAAATCTTGCAGCAGACATGTAATATGGTGTACTCTTGGATGCTTGGCTTGAATAGAATCAGAACAATAAAAACCAAGAAACACATCAGAACAACGGCACGCCAAGCCTGACAAGGAAGCTGCAAAGGTGTTATATAATATAGTTTAATTGATGCAGACATATGCAGAACCTTTTGGAAACCATCGACAAAATCTGCGATTAATGTGCGATTGATCTGCGATTGTGAGGCGATTAAAAGACCCTCCTCGCTAGCCTTGCCCATGCCTCTGCCCAGGGTGATCGCTATACATACATATATAATATATATAATATATATATATATATAAATATATTATATATAATGTATATGTTCAGATGATTTTCTCTACAAGGTAAACTCGGAGGTTGGAATGTGATTAATCTGCGATTGTAGCTGCCCCAGATTGTGCCAGGAATCTTTATTTTGATCAAGACAGACATACAAAGCTACCACTTAACCATTTGACTAGATCAACAAGAAAACTATATTGGTTGCATATGATCTTTCTGTAAATCGGTCAAACGCCTTTTCCCGCCCATGTTTTTTTGGGATTTCAACATCTTCCAACATCTTCCAACCAGTCCCAGGAGAAGTGCGACACCATCACCTCCATGGTGAATCGCGGCATTGCTGGAACCACTGCAGCAGAGTGGGCTGCCAAGGACAACTGCGCCACGAAGCCCCCGGATTCCTTGTGCTGTTCCTTGGCACTTTTCGACCAGAGGGAACCATATTTTTACACATCCCATTAAACAATCTAGAATTTATTAATATATATATATATTGATATATCCTTATTTATCTTATTTATGATATGTGATATTATACTGCAAAGAAATTGCTAGTGTAATTATTAGTTTTTTGAGGAAACCCGACTAATATATATATATATACGTATATATATATATATATCATTCACTACAGAGACCCAAAGAGTTTTCAAAACAGTTAGCTACCAGCGATGCTGCGTGGATGAAACTGGTTTTCAAAGTGCTCCTCATTCATGAAAGCAACGTGTTTTGCAAGAAATGCAATATGGTCGCAGATGGAATTGTAATGAGTCTTCTCGGCACTTGAACGAGACACCCATGCATACATGTTTGTCACTTCGTTTTGTGGGAGCGTTTGTTTTGGGCAACATCGCGCAATTGCGCAATTGCATTTCCAGGAAGAAATGCACTACAAGTGTAGCACAAAACCATTCAAAACCATTTTTCCCCCGTCGCCAATACAGACAAGGACAATCCGTCCACAAATATATATATATATATATTGATATAGTATAGTAGTATAGCACGTATATATATAATATATATATACATACTGTAAATATGTTCTCCCTTTTCTCAAGTTTTGGGTTTTCTCCTGGTTTGTGTAGGGCCTTTGGAGCAGAATCTGACCTCAGGCCGAAGCACTGGAAGCTGTAGCCTTGATGATGTGTCTTTCAATGACACTTTCAGGACGAAACATGAAACCTCTGCGGTGTGGCTGGTGATTCGAGAAGAATATATTTGACACATGACAAATATGACAATACACAACAGCTTTTGATGAACGCTCTCAACATGTTTCAACTGTAGCGTGGGACCCCCAATGAAACCCTGTCCATTGATCAAGGGAAGCATCATCATAGCCACAGCCATCATTGCAGCCGTGAGGACAGCTTGGGTGAGCATTGGTGGTAACGACTTTTTCTTGACGGGCTGTAGCGCCGCCCCAGCAACACTCAGCGCGATCCAAGCGAACATTCAGAAGGCAGGTTGGAATATTGTGGAATCCCCTGGTTGATCAGATTGAAGCAGCCTGGCCAAACAAACTGAGCAATGTTCCTGCAACTTATCAATTTCAACCAAGCAGAGGCAGCAGAGGTTTATGATTTGATGTTATTTAATATCATTTTAGACTATTGGCTTTCTGTCATTCTTTTTTAACTCCCATAATTTCACCATAGACACAGGTGGTGGCTGACCTGCAAGCCTTGTCACCTCAGACGACCATCGTTTTGACGGGCTACTCCGTGCCCAGTAGCCCGCTGACCTGGCACCCCAGCCCGAGCTGTTCGGAGTTCTCAGCCTTGCTGCCGCTGAATGCTGCAGTGATGCTACCCCGAACTTTTTGGGTTCAATTTTCATTGTACCCTCTGGTAATTTAACATAGCTATTGAACATGGCCATAGAAATAGTGGATAATACTCCATTAAAAATGGCGGATCTTTCCAGTTCGCTATGTTAGTCATTACCAGAGGGTACAACATATTTACTCATTGGATCATTTGGATCTCATTGGTTTACATTGTACAATACTTGTACAACGCGAATGGAGATAGTTTCCCCAGTGGTTTTCCCTATGGGTTTTCCCTTAGGGTTTTCCCTGGCCTTAGCGGTGGCCAGCCTACGCTTTTGGCCCAGGAAAGCCGCCGCAGAGGCTCAGAGCGTGGACTACGTGGACGTGTCTCAGGTCATGGGAGGCAACGCCACGCAGTATAGCGATGCCCAGTTCTATGCAGATTCTCAGACCCGGAATGACCCGGATAATCCTGGAATATCCACTGGAGATAGTTTGGACATCTGGCTATGAGTCAAAACCCTGGTACCCCTGGTGAACATCAATTCATAGCTGGTAAATGGATGTTCATCCCATTAAAAATGTATCTATAGGTATTGACCCATACCCATCTAAAGGATCATCCTGGAGTTTCAATATCAATCTGAAGAATCTAGTAAATATTTTAAGTAATCTGATGAGTAATCTAAACTGAATAAGAAGGACAATCATCGGAATCTAGAGAATCTAAAGTGAATAGTAGGGAATCTAAACTGAATATTGAAAAATATTGAAAATAAGATGAAATAAGAAGGAAAATCATCTACCAAAGTGAGGGATTGTCCATTGCAGGGTTTGTTTACAGGAGGATACTTGTCATCTTGAAACGGCCTTGATGAAGTCTAGATGGAAGCCATCCTTCGGCGTGGTGAGAAGCCTGTGATTCAGTTTGATGCGAAGGGTTTTCATCAATATCTAAGGCTCAAGGATCCAGAGGCTTTCCGGGCTTCCTGTTTCAAGAGCCACCCAAATAGAGAATAATACACTCCCAAACAGGAAAACAATGATCGCCACATGTTTGGTGATAGATTTTAGAAAATCCCCAAAGTTTCATCCAAATCTTAGATTTTCCATAATTTTTCCAATTTTTCCATCCTTTTTCCCAGTGCTTCCCTTCCCATTCCCAGCTTCAGGATTCCATCCACCTCAATGAGGCGGGCTATCGACAGCTCTGGGATCATCCGCCACTTCAGGCGGCCATGCAATGCCTCCTGGGCCAATCCGTCAGTGGAGCGCCTCGGAAACTGAAAGGTGCGTCCCTGGCGTCGCTGGCCGTGATCCTGCCCTGGATGCGCTAAGCACAGAATTAGATCGGCTTTTAAATGGTCCACAATTTCAACTTTCAACAAACATTTTCATAACATTTTAATACATTTCTTGATGTTACTCTGATCTCTTCTTGATCTCTTGAGTATCTGGTTTTTGGCTGTGTGGTGGACCAAAAGCAAGACACTTCCAAATAGAATCAACTAGAGCCATCCGAAATGTTTCTCAGACGCCGGTAGTGCTTCAGTCGCTCCCTCCGAAACTGGACCTCGGAGCATTTGCCGCAATGGATGGGTAGAAGCACTGCCTCTGTTGCAGGGCTTTGACTTGTCCTTAATCACTCAAAATTCAGGGTTACTGGAGCGCAGTCACTCAATGTTGCTCTCATGCTTGGCAGTTTTCACGTTCTCGCCAGCGGGATTCAGATTCACATTTCCTGGGCCTGCCGCGATGCCAAGGTGCAGTGTAGTATGGTGCTTTTTGAATGAACCAAGATGGCTAAATCTTGGTTGGATTAGTTCATACATCTTGAAGTACAAATAAAACAGGGGGAAATACATGGGAATACTATGATGGCCAGCTAAGAATCAAGGTTTTTGGTTAGTCTAAAATTGGGCAATGAATGCATATTTTTCTGGAACTGAACACACACATGCACCATGAAAGATCCGCTCAAAGTGCTATAAGCCTTTCCACTAGTTTAGAGCCATTTGACCTTCAAACTTCAATATGTTCAATGAATATGTTCAATGATTTCAATGATTTCAATGTTTTTGACCTTAATCCAACACTTTGAACACCAATAAGACACCCTTCAGCCACTCACTGTCCATGTTGTGGCTGGCTTTGCTTGCACTGTCCTTGTCCGGACCTCAGATTGGGTTGGACTCATGTTGAAACTCAAGTGTTCCTCCATTGAAGGCAATTGGTTCACCCAGGCTAAGATTTCGGAATCACAATCACTTTTGATATCTATTAATGTAAAACTCTTGTGGTTGTATGTGGCAGTCTTACAGTAGATCGCAGTAGCCTCTTAGACATCAAGCCATTCCCAGCTGTGGACATTGCAATTCAATTCTTGTGCGCACTTTCAGTAGTACCTGTCAGACCTGTGTGGTCGAAACTCAAAGGTACGATCCACAGTTTAATTGACTGAGATCTCTGTGGGAACCGATTTAGATAGATGAACAGATGTAGATACCACAGACAGATATATTTAGTTATATACTTAGTTTGTGGTATTTGGATGTATTTGCTGTGTTCCAGAATGTGGGACTCGGGACCCCCAAATCTTTACAAGGACCTGCCTGCAACCTGTGAGCCAGTAGTGGCCTTTTCCTTGGCACTTAAAATCTAGTAGAGTTTTGACTCAGTGACCAACGAACAACGGCAACCGTGCTTTCAATCAAGGTATGCATTGATTGCTTATGTACCAAATAGGTATGGGCCAAAAAAAACGGTATGGGCCCCCCAATCATTGGGAGTCAACCAACATCAACATCATCAACGACCAAGTAGATATTGATGTTAACAGAATCTATACAGAATCTTAGTGGACAACATTGGATAACTAAAAATACCTTAGACACAGCCCCTTGGAATCCTGAGGTGGCCAACCGTCGCCGAGACCAAAGCCTCGGTGCTGTCCAAGATTGGGGATTTTCTAGCGAAATGGGAGGGAATTTTGATGCTTTTAATATATATTTTTTACTATCTCATACTATCTCTTCATATCTTTTGGTATGAGTATTTGATAGTATTTTAAATATGTGATGCTGTGATGCTTGTGCAGTTTTGCAATTGTTCCGATGTGTGTTTGCCGTTGGTGGATTTTCCCGGTTGCCATGGTTGCCATCATCCCATGGCAGAGGTGACGACCTTGAAGTGCCCGACTCAGCAGATCCTGTAGAAGAGACATGAAAGGTTACAGGCAGAGTATCAACAGGAAGGGTTGGGAACAGTTTGGAACAGTTTCCTTGAGTTTTGAATAGTTTTGATACACTTTTCCAAATTTCCAGTCGGTTCTTCCTGGTTTCCTTTTCATGCCTTAATGCCTTCCGGTTTTTCTTGTTGAATCTAGTTTGAGGGCTGCATTTTTGGAGGTTCCCATCTTACCAAGTGAACTTCACGAGCCTGGCAGTGGCAGTGAGGCTCCCAAAGCAAACAATTTGCACAGGACGTTGCACGCCGAAGGGAACGACATTGGGATCAGCGCAAGCCAATCCTATGGTTGAAGGGAAAACTTACAGGATCTTACAGTCATTTTCCAGCATTTTCCCGTGGGGCAATTGCCCCGATATCAATCCCTTGAAGCAGAAGGATCAGAAGGAAACTGCAAGTTGTATTCCAGGCCAATAGGCCAGGTCCAAGCTCTCCAGGAGGCGGAAAAGATCAGGAATGCCTCACGGTGAAGGATTTCACCCAAGAGGTTGGCGTGGGAGCATTGCATCATGCAGAGATATTCATAGGATCTCAAAACGTACCAAACCAATACAAAAACAGACGTGTAGAATTCAGCAGGAGATTTTGTTGGGTGGCCAGTGTGAAGCCTGGGGTCTACTTTCAAGTCACCTCAGAGTGGTTCCTAGCCGTGGCCAGCAACAGGAACTCCTGTCGATCTTGGAACCGTCACGTTCTGAGTGCAGGAACTCTAATCCCAGGCAGCTCATTTGAGATCTCAGATTGCCAATCATTTTCACCTGAGCACTGGCCGGGAGGGCGATTGGCGAAAAACGAGCTGGTTCAGCAACTCAATGATGACATGTTCCGCCAAGAATCGACTTCCAATACCCCTCCGGTGGAGTTCCAAATGTGAAACCCTGTAGGAAGCTTTTACTATCTTGTAAGGATTTTTAAGGTGTTTACTCGTTGAACCATGTTGAACCATGTTGAACCATGTTGAACCTTCAAACAGTCCAAGGGTGTGTCAAACACTGTACCCATCTGTAGCCATCTGCAGCCAAGGCTATTGACTCGGGTTCCGGAATCCGGAAGGCTTGGGCTGTCCGCGGCTTCGTGGAATCGACGGTCTCAGGGGTGTGTCTGAAAATAGTGTACCCCTAAACCCAATGGTTAATGATCATTATCCCTATTAAATGGCTATAATTGGGAATATAGCCTATTTTCAGACAAACCCATGACTCTATCATACTCTATCTAACTGGAATCTAACTCTAGCATGTATAACATTGTATAACAATAGAAGAGACATGAAGAGACCAAACATGGATTTCCAACAGCATGCTTGTACATTGCATGCATGTTTTTTTCAAGGAAAACAGGACCTGGGTGGACGTTGAGAGGGGAAGGTCTGCAAGATATGTACGGATGTTGTAGGCTGAAAGAGGGCTCGAAAACAAACAGCAAGTCAGCTGATGACTGTTAGTGCTTAGAAAAGAGCAGGAATTTCAGAAGTGTATAGATCCGAAAATCAAATGAGAAAACATGCGGATTGATATTTTTTCGCATGCATGCAAGAATGAAGCATACCACTTGCTTGTGGATATTCTCTGGCAATGTCGCCCGCCAATGGGTAATCCCATTTGTAGGTACTGTTCCCATTCAACTATCTTCAAAGGGTGATTTTCCATTGCGAATGTTCGAACACCGCGGGAAATTACATCGTAAAGTAGACCCATTATTTTTGTTGGTAACATAATATTGTTATGGTCAAATGGACGCTTTTGTTGGTTGGAATAGCGATGACTTTCTTTTTAAAAGCAACATTTGAGTTTGTTAAATGCCAATTTCTGTTGGTTAAATAGAGCATGTTTCTTGGTTAAATTGATTTAACTTGTCCTTTTCTGTTGGTAAAATACGCATTTTTTTTTCAAACCCCAATTGATCTTAGCAAAAAACATCCCTCTTTCGCAGGCCCTCTTGGAGGAGCTTGTTGTGCAGCCTGATGGTGACCATGAGCACGTCAGAAGCTAAGTTGGGATCACCAGGCAACGAAAGCGGTAAACGCACCTGCTACTCCGATTCGTTGTTTTTGTTGTTGTAGTTGTAATAAATGATTTCTAAGGACTGTTTCTAGCCACCAGCTAAATCAACAAATTCGAGGGCAATTTTGTCTTCATGAAGAATCATCAGTTTCATGCAAAGTATCCCAATGTTGATAGTTATATAAATTCTATCTGTTGATGGTTATATCATGTTGTATCCTAGAGTTTGGACCATCCTTATCTAACAGCGACTAACCAAAAATCTTGGTTGGTTTTTCACCCTTTCAGGTGGGCCTTGCTGTTCAGTTGTCTGCGGGCATGTTGTCGGCAGTGCGGTCCTCTGCCGGAACCCATAAGCCGCCGAGATTGTGGAGTGTTGATCTATTGTCTTGCAGGACAAACTACCAGACTTTGAAGGTCACCTCCAGCAAAATAAGGTAAGTGAGTCACTCACTTTGGGCCGATTGGGTTTGCCAATTTCTTGCGGAGGTAGGTGACACGACAGAAAATCACTCGATTCAGATTGAGCACTTGTCAACGGTTCTGAGAATCTTGGAGTATATTTGCCATTATTTGCCTATATTATCCTCAAGATCCTCAAGAGTGCGCGGAAGAAGAAATCCGTCGACTTGATTAACTCCCTATATATTTCTTGTGGCTCCATTGGTCCATAGCGCAGCACATCCAAGGAAGGGCAGCAAAAAGTGCGGCCCTGAGGGGTCGAGCAGGTCTCAGAGGTGATGTCTTGTACACCGATGTTGGGATGGGTACCTGAAACCACTGAGTCGTGCTGAGTCCTGGAGATCTGACTTTGGGACATTTTGGATCATTTTTGGGTACCCTCTGGTAATTTAACATAGCTATTGAAAATCACAATTTAAAATAGGTAAATCAATTATAAATGGGGTATTTTCAATAGCTATGTTAAATTACCAGAGGGTATGTTCCCCAAGACGACTTCTTCAAATATGCACCCTGGCCACTCAGGGCCCGACAAAGCTGTGGCGTTCTCCGTCGCTGGGCCGGTGACTTGTGTGACGTGTGGATGCCCAGACCAGTGATAGTCCCAGACATGCCAAGTTCCTACAAACACAATTCAACACACCCGTGCCGCAGTGCCCATGACCCGTGGTTTTGCGTGAAGATCGTTCTTGATTGGCATAGTTCAATATGCTCTGATTGAAGAGCCTGGTAGCGTGCTTCTTAAATCATAATGTATCAGAATAGGCAACCTGGAGGAACTTTCTCTTCCAGGGAATGGCCAGTTCCACATTTCCACCTGTGAGAAGCTTTAAGGTCTTTTTTACCTTTCCGGTGATGGGTCCGGCTGTCAGACTTGATGGTGAAGTATGCGGCATAGATTCTGGAGAGGTTGTAACTCGCAGTCTTCTCACTGGGTCTTGTTTCACTCAGCCATGATGAAAGATTAGACCTTCCACATGTGTGACATTTAAGTGTTATCAACACTTCAGTGCGGTGAACACAGCAGGCTATCCGGCTATCCCCAAGTTTTGCCAGGTGCCAGAATGATCTTGGGGGAAGTCATCGCTTGGAATCTCAGGGAATCTCAGTTCGATCATGAGTTGATATGAGTTGATCATATCGCCATGAAATGCCATGAACCTGAACTTCTATGGCAATTAGACATTACTCATATTTACTCATCATTACATTCATTACTCAAACCAGTGGGGTGGACATTCACTGAGGCAAAGCCGTCACAATTTTGAGTGTCGCATGTTTTCCAATTGGTCCATAATTGGTACCCTAAGAAATTGAGCTTCACAAAAACCGCTGGCATCATGTCAGGCTGGGATAAGTTCAAACCGTATCCAGACATAACAACCACGGCAATTTTGTGAAGGCTGCGCCCATTGCTGCCGCCTCCATGGCACTTCAAGACATGCAGACAGAGCCACTGCCTGAAGGGCAGGGAATGGTATCAAAAGTATTTACCGATCGGACAGAAACCGTCAGAAACCATAAAAAGGCAACGTTTACATATTAAAAAATCAGGATCTATAACATGGCTCATCATGGCTCCACACTTGGAAGGTATAGATAGCATAGATAGATTAGATAGTATAGATGTAAAATGAACCGGTAAACATGAGACTCTTTGTTTGGTACTTCTTGGTACCATTTGGCATCCATTTTTCTTGGCTGTTCTCATCTGTTCTCCTTTGTCCTTTGACCATCCTGAAGAGGAACCGAGGGATGATGCCTTGGAGGAAGGAACAAAGGAATCTGAAGCCATGAGCTGACAATAGCTGACAATATTTCATAGACAGCTTCATAGATAGCTCCATAATTGTAAATGATTTATGTTTATAGATGTTTATAATTTATAAATGTTCATACTTTCATACCATTGTGATCATCCCATGTAGAGCACTAGTCGATCCTTTTTCGAAAGGATCATTCTACTTAGCCAGTTTTTCTTGGTCACCGAGTCAGGTCTTTTTTATTCATTTTTTCCTGCAATGGCATTGTTGTTTATTGTTTATTGACTCCGATTTTTTCATGGTGACGTGGCCCATTTTTTGCCGCGGTATGGTACTCCCAACTGCCCAAGTCGTGGCGAAATCCCAAAAATCTTGAAATTAGCTTGGGGGAAGGCTTTTGTGGAAGTCGTGGCGAAGCGGCGTTTAGGTTGTGTTTGGGGTAGGGCGTTGTTTTACTATTAGCATAGTGCTTTAATCTTGCTAGTTGCGTTCTCATTGTGTTTGGGATGGTTGCTGTTGGGTTCTGCAGCTACTGGCGTCTTGCTGTTGCTGCGGCTGCTGGTTCGACGGCTGCTGCTGTTGCTGTTTCCGGGTACTTCTACACAACGCTGGGATTATCATCTCTACACTGCCATGGCGGTGTGCTGGGATTCTGCAAATTGTCATTGTTTCGCTACCAGTGATCCAAGGAAGGGCAGGTTTGCGGCTTGCGGGCCAAAGTCCATGTGTGTAGATGCGGGGCTTTTTCCGCACCTCGTTTTGACCTCGCTTTGCACCTCGTTTTTTTCCTTTATCAGAACCCATCCTGCAGTATACAAACTAGGAAAAGGGCCTGCTTCGCGTTTTTGTTTGTGGGCGTCAACAGTGCCCACGAAAAAAGGCCCGTTGGAAACCGGCGTTCCGATGGGATTCGATCAAAAACGAATAGAACATAATAGAACCATGATAGTTTGGTCAAGGCTTGTTAAAGCTAGCGTTTCCAATGGGGAAAGGGGTTTTGCAAGGTCTGTGCCGGGACAGGGGTCGTGGCGAGCGTTTTGATTGGGAATAGCTGTCAAACGCAAACATTGCAAGGACTTGGGCGTATGGGTGTAGCTGGGTGCTTGCAACCACTGGTCATGCTGAGGCAAACCTTGCGGTTGCAGCGACAGCTTCTGGCTGCTGAGGTGACATGTCCAGTCATGGAGGGTTTCCAAGCTAAAGGTTATGAACTGTCTAGGGTCTACTGTATGGGTCAACTTTAAAATGCAGCGGACTGTAGATTGGGTCCATTTTGAAGTATTAACCATCCAATTATTGGGCACCCAATTTTCAACCATAACATATGCAAACTGGTGGTGCAACTTTGGGCGACCCAGGGTTTTTGTGTTGTACCTAGGCCTGTTTCTGTGATTTTGTTTTGGATGTGTTCATCGTTTTTTCCTGTCTTTTGTTCCCTTTCCATAAGAAATTCACAAGCGAAAGTTGATTGGAACCCTTCACAGATCCCTTCAGATGGAGAGTTCGTTTCCGAAGAAGCGAGAGCGAGGTCATGGTCCTGGCCTCAACGGAGGTTTTTTTGATGCTCAATGGCCGCTTAAAGCATTGAATCACCGTGAAGCCACGTTACAAACAGCGAGGGCTGAAAAAATCAGAGAGGGGTAAAAAAACCCTGGTGCAGCAAGGAAACTTGACAAGCTTTAAGATTCAAGACGCAGAAAGCATCGGAAAACAACATATTTGGTTAACCTCTGTTATTTAACCATCCCATCTTTGGGTGCCCAGTTTTGACCCTTACCACTTTGTCCAGTGCCACCTTGATATAACGTCAGCTGCAGGTTTGCTTCGGAGCAAACGTCGACCGGCCACCATGGCCAAGGCCGACAAAGCCAAGGACTTTACATCACAGAGGGAGGGTCTGAGAGACGAACTGAAAATTCTGAGCTGATGAATTTGAAGGTCAAGAGTCAAGAGCGGTCTGACTGTTTTATTCAAGACACTGTATACCCATGAATGTCAAAACATGTGACATCATTCACGTTCAACAACGATGCTCTTGTGACTCTTGTGATATTGTTGAGGGTGCAACGACACAAAGTGGCGTTTCAAGGGCTGATGTGACTTCAAAAGCACTGGCGCTAGTTTGATGATTCAGGGGTTGCACCACGGTTTTCCTTCTGTTTTGGGGAGAGTCATCATATCATCATCCATGATCTGTGGATCCGCATTGACCAACCATTTCTCTAGGGGATTTTCCTCAGAAAAATACCACGGAATCCCATGGTATCCAGATATCAACCATGAAGTTCGATCGAAGCTTCTCGGATTTTCGAAGAGGTTTAGTTCCACTGCCACAAAAGAACTGCTGAGGAGCTTTCCAGCTCTCACACAGTCAGGCCAGGTGGAAGTGGGCGAAAGGGATCTGGGAGTTCATGGATGATCCTTCAGAATGAATGGTGACGATGGTGATTAATTATGTTTAATTGATCTTAATCATGATGAATGATATTTTCATGATCGACGAGGATTTCTTGATTCATTGATGCAATTCATGTTTGATGATAAATTATGATAAATTATCCCACATTTTCCGCAGGGTGTTTCTTCATCCCGAGATGCCTCCAGCCCTTGCAGACCACTGCCAGCTGCCCCAGCAGCTGAAGTTGTCACAGTTTCAGAAGAGGCCTGGAAGATGGGCTGGCGAAGGGTCCATGACTTGGAGCAGTAATAGAGTGATTATATGTAAATATGTAATATGTTTGTATAGAATATTATAGGATGATGTAGATTTGTACGGATCAATGCCGGAACGTACAGTATACATATACACGCATACACATAGAATACATTATAGATAATACATAATATATAATACATATAATCTATAATATATGATATTATATATTAATATATTATATCTAATACATAATATATAATACATAATATATAATACTCATATAATATAAATATTATATTATATATAATATATACTACATAATATATAATATTACTTATATATAATATATGATATATGATATATCATATATAATAATATATATATATATATAATACATAATATATAATATTACTTATATACATAATATATGATATATAATATATCATATATAATAATATAATATATATAATACATAATATATATAATATATATATAATATAATATATATATAATATATAATATATAATATATATAATATATATATATATATTATATTATGTGTTTCTTCATATACACATGATATATATCCTTGCCACACAGATGCTACTACCTGCCAGGAATTCGCCGGGGACTGGTGTCAGGTCCAACGCCATGGCAACTTGGTGACGCCTCGGCTGAGAATGGCTGAAATTGGCAACCGAGAATTTTCCAATATGAAACAGAGTAAACAGAGAGGTGAACATCCAGAAGTTCCTGATTTGGGGGGTACAGTAGTAGGTTTTGATAGGTTTTGTCTCAAAAACAAAAAACAACTCAATCTGTTTTTGAAAGCCATTGCGCACGACTTTGCTTTGCCGAAGTTTGGTTTACGTCACAGCCGACAAAGCAGCGACCAAAAAAGAATTCCTAGCGAGGATCCAATGATCCAACTTTGAGGGGAAACACTGGTGACTTGGGATCCCCAATTCAAGACAGCACTTGTGACTGGTTGGGCATAGGACCAGCTACTGTATATCAAAAAATATATATATATATACTGTATATATATATTATATACTGTATATATATTATATACTGTATATATATATATCAATATATATATATATTATATATTCAATATGAACATTTTCTGAACATTATGAACGTGAAGAATGGTGCATTGGGCGTGTGGATCATCCTGAGGCGATCATCCAAAGAGAAGCACTGCAGAAAAGGTGGAAGTCAGGCCGGGGCATGCGGGGCATGCCCTTCCTTAAACAGGTGGGACCTACACTGGCCAACTGAATTTCAATGGTGTCATCAACTTTAGAGAACTGGCAGAGGGACACATCTGTTACATTGTTGATCTTGGTTTCATACGTATCATTTGCTCATTTGCTTTGTCCTTTTGGGTCTGTGTGAGTTTCAAAAAATCAATGATGCTGACCCCGCAATCTTGTGGAAACAGACGACATCATGTCTGTTAAATTCGACTGAACGCATATATTACTCTGTTGTGTCAATGGCGAGCATGTAGTAGTATATCGATAGTCGAACCCTGAGCCGTACTAGTGTACCCCCACGGAAGTGTGACTTCAACATGTCCAAGTAGAGGCCAGAAAGATGCAAGCGCCCGACGACACACAAGGAGGTTTGGGGGGATGCAACTCCAAGCTGAGTTTCTGGCGTGAATCCAAAGGGATTCTACCTAAATTCTAGGTGACTCATTGATGTCTTTGTCCAGAAACCTCTGAGGTTTTGGATATTTATGGATATGTTAAGGATATTTCAATGATATTTTGGGATGTTTTTGAGTCCGAGGTTGCTTATGAAGTATGGTCCATCTGGCAGGTGAGCCAAATTGCGCCTCTGGTGGCCCCGGAGGGTGACAGATCACTGGACCGAGCCAGGCAGGGCTTCAGCAACTCGTGACGCTGACGACGACCTCACCTTGGGGTCTGAAAATGGTGTTGTTTCATGTTGTTTTCCTAAATTTCAATAGGGAAAATACGATGAACTATGGGATTTTGATGGATTTTGGAGGTAGCCTATTTTTTTTTGATCCGCACTAGTTTCTGCGCGTGAGACCGCTACCCCCCCGTGTTGGGGGCAGTCGGCTGGGGGAAGGGGGATCGGTGTAGTGGGTTTCTGCCAGCGAGACCCACATGATGGCTACAGTGAGGGGAATCATTGCGAATTATTGCCAATCATTCGCCCTGTTTCCGAGAATGGGAAACCCAGAATCACCTTACCCTCTGGTAAACTAACATAGCGAACTGGAAAATCACCATTTTTAATGGGAAAACTCACTATAAATGGCAATTTTCAATAGCTATGTTAAATTACCAGAGGGTAATTTTTGTTCTGTTTGTTCTGTTTAAATTTGTAAATTGCATATAAACCATTATGAACCCATTATTTTTTTTGCGTTTGGGGGTGCCCAATAGTCCGCCCTGTTTGG